AGCACATTATGATAGCAGTGTTTTCATAAGTGCTATGAAAGATCGGTTTTTTAGTTTGATTTATATTGATAGCAGTTAATAACCGCTATTATGAAAAGTAAGTGAGCGGGAAAAGAAAACTACTAATACCACCAATACTTAGGTAAAAATTAGACGAGCGTCAAGACATAATTTTTTCTTTTTTTGATAGCATATTATGATAGCTTTTTTTTCTTGAAAACTGCTATGAAACAATAAATTCTAATCTTTGAAACCCTTAACATGGTTTAAATTCTAAACTTTAAACATCAACCTTAAAAATCTTATTTTCATACTATAACCTGAAATTGTAAACTTAAACTCAAAATTATTCCTTTAATCTTAATCTATATATAACTTCCCAAACACAAAACCTTAAATCATTAGTCAAACTCTATATCCTAAACATGCATATAAACTCTAGGGAAAATTGCCAAATATGAGTCAAAACTTGATTTGAAATGCAAAAGTAAATCCAAACTTGAATCAAATGCAAAAGTAACTTAAAAGGCTATTGAAATTACAACCAACCCCTTGTGAACAAACAAAAAAAAATATATTTTTTTTTTTACGTTTCTAGCCCTCGCAAGTCGTCTGGGAGAGTTTTTCTTAAAAATAATTTAAAAATTGTGTAATAAATATTTTGATAAATGAAAAATTGGAATTATGTAATTAACATATGTCTTAAGAGATATAAATTAAGATATAACAAAAGTCAGTTGTTTTCAGCATAGATGAGTGAAAGTAGTGAGTCATGATATTCTCTAGTTTAGGTTTCACCAACATATATTTTAGTATTGTATGTGTTTCTTAGGGTTAGATTTTCGAAAGCATAAATGTTTTTTTGAAAAATTAAAAATTTACCTAAGTGTGTTTATTTTTGTGTATAGTAAACAATATTTAAGTATAATTTCATTTTTAAAACGTGGTTAGTTAGTCAATTTAGTCAATTTAGTTTAGGGTTTAGGGTTTAGGGTTTAGGGTTTAGGGTTTAGGGTCTGTACGACTTAAAATTAAGTCGTCTGGTAAATATATTTAATAAGGCAGACGACTTAGACGTCTTATAGTATCAACAGACGACTTAATTATAAGTCGTCCAAACCGGATTTTACCAAATTACTTTTAAACCTAACCGTATTTTTGACCGGACATATATAAGATGTTTTTTACTCACTTTTTCGCGAAATTCGGAAAACCCTAACGCCGTTTCTCTCAAAGGTGATTTCGAGGCGATTTCGATCCGATACAAGACCAAGGTAAATCGAAGGCTTCTTTTGCAGATATATGGGTTTTTATTAGGATGGATGTTGTTTTCCTTTACTTCTACCGTTTGGTTTTGTGTTTTCAACGATTTCGGGAAATTTTGGTTTCAAATTAGGGTTTCAAAAATTGGGGATTTCAATCGATTTGTTGTTTAGTTAGGTTGGATGTTGTTTTCCTCTCATTTCACGGTTACGATTTGTGATTTCAAGCAATTTGTGGATATTTTCATTTCAAATTAGGGTTTCAAAGATTGGGGATTTCAATCGATTTGTGGTCTAGTTAGGTTGGATGTTGTTCACCTCTCATTCGTTTGGTCAGCTTTCAAATGTTCTACTGGAAGTCTTGGTAGACTTATAATTAAGTCATCTGGAAAGTCTTCCAGGTGGACGACCCAGACGACTTAATATAAGTCGTCTGGAAAGTCTTCCAGGTTGACGACCCAGACGACTTAATATAAGTCTTCCAGACTTAGAATTAAAATGTTTCCATTTCGTTTCTTGTTTGCAGATGGCGAATCAGCATGAACCTCACTTCTTGAAGCCTCTGCTTCTTGGTTTCAGCAGTGCCGTGGTATACACACGCTCTCTATTTCTCCCCTGTTTATTTCCTTTGCTTAACTTCTCCTTTGTTGACTTGTAGATTATTTCGTTTGCTTAACTTCTCCTTTGTTGACTTGTAGACAATACCACTTGCCTTCTACTCAAAACACATAGAAGGCAAGCCGAACCAAGGAAAATGGACACTACGATCGGACGCTTCACACCAAACTTGGGAAGTTATACAAGAAGGAAGAACACTCACCGATGGTTGGAAAGCCTTCGCCCAAGCACACTCCCTTTGCATTGGTGACATTGTCGTGTTCAAAAAGGAAGGAGAAATGGTATTTCATGTGACTCCTTTCGGTCCTCCTCAAGTGGATGATGCTGCGGATGGTGCCTCAACTTCCTCGTCTCTTCCTAAATGAGATGTTGTTTGTCTTGCTATTGTCTTATTGTAATCTGCTTCTAGTGGACTTGTAATGGATGACGTCTATGTTGTTGTTCCCTTGTTTTAAAATGTTTTTAAACCTTTGACTTGTAATGGAAGATCAACTATTATAATTAGTCGTCTGTCGGATAATGTACATCGGACGACTTAATATTTAGTCGTCTGTATATAGAAGACTTATAATTAAGTCGTCTGGAAAGTCATCCAGCCGGAAGATTTGTCAGACGACTTAATTATTAGTCGTCTAAGAAGTCTAACACAAATTCTTAAAACATACTCATAAAGCCTGGACGACTTAGTAGACGACTAATATTTAAGTCGTCTGGAAAGTCATCCAGCCGGAAGATTTGTCAGACGACTTAATTATAAGCCGTCTATATACAGATGACTAAATATTAAGTCGTCCGATGTACATTATCCGGCAGACGACTTACTAGTAAGTTGTCCAAACCGGACCGAACCTTTAATTTTACCAATGTACTTTTTAACCTAGCCGATTTATTTACCCGACGGTTTATATACCCGATATATAAGGTGATTTTTTTTTTGGTTCATTTTTTTGAGAAATTCAGAATTCCAACCGTTTCTCTCAAAGGCAATTTCCGACGATTTCCGAGCAAACCATCGTCTCACCGCCGATTATCTATCCCATCATCGTTCTCACCGTTCTCACCACCGTGCTCATCAACGCTCTCACAGCCGCTTCCTTTAAACCCTAGCGCCGTTTCTCTGTAAACCCTAACGCCGTTAAGTCATATCTCTTACTGTCGAGGGATTGATTGAGGAAAGGATGGACATAAACGTTGTCTCTAACCATATTTATACTCGTTGTCATTTTTTTTTCGAAATTCAGAATTCCAAAAGCTGTTTCTCTCACCGCCGCTTAAACCCTAACGCCGGTAAGTCATATCTCTTACTGTCGAGGGATTGATTGAGGAAAAGATGAACATAAACGTTGTCTCTAACCATTTTTATACTCGTTCTCACTGAGCTTCTTTTTCACGTTTATTTTTTCAGAACTATAACCGCTATGTCGACGGCGACTACTTCTTCTCCGTCTAAACAGGTCCGCTTTAAAATGTAATAGTGGACGACTTATAATTTAGTCGTCTGGAAAGTCTTCCAACTGGACGACTTAGTAGACGACTTAATTATAAGTCTTCCAGATGGACGACTTTCCAGACGATTTAATTATGAGTCGTCTGCTAAGTCGTCCAGTTGGAAGACTTTCCTGACGACTTAATTTTAAGTCGTCTACTAAGTCGTCCAGAGTTACAATTAAAGCGTGATTGATTTAGCTTGTGTTCTGACTTCTATGTGAGTTCCCGCTAATGAAAGTTGAAAGCTTTGTTAGATTTAGCTTGTTTTGCTTATCTCTGTCGTTATCTTTGATTATTTTGCAGAGAAAAAGGATGGATATTCCAGAACTCTCCCGTAGGTTATATACATCAGGGGAAGAGCCAGACGCCCATAATAGCATTTCGTATCATTCGGATAATACCAAATTGCATACTGCTCTTAAGGATGCTCTTACGGATGAGGAATATGCAGAGCTGAAGGAGTCGAAGTTGGGTGTTTTCATCAAGTTCAAAGAGATGGGATTTGGTTGGGCTTCAAGGCTTGTTCACTACATGCTCAGTTACCAGCTGGATATAAAGAAGAAGTATGAGCTGTGGTGTCTCGTTGGTCCAGAACCTGTGAGGTTTTCACTGTTAGAGTTTGAAAACCTCACTGGTCTTAACTGCGAGTACATCGAGGACCTTGAGAGACCAAAATGTGAAGTTACAAAAGAGTTGGTTTCTTTTTGGGGGAAGCTGGGAGTTCATATCGAAGCTGGGCCAACGACTGACCATATTAAAACAGCATTGGAGAGTTGCAAGGAGTGGTCTCCGGAAGATCGTAAGCGGCTCGCGTACCTTTCAATCTTCACTGGATTTATTGAAGGGAGAAAGTATTCAACCCCTACACGAGCTAGTCTGGCAAGGCTAGTGATGGATTTAGAACGGTTTGAGAATTATCCATGGGGGAGAGTCGCGTTTAAGGTGCTGATGGACTCTTTGAGGAACAAAGATATTAGTGGTTGTTACACTGTGGATGGGTTTATACAAGTTCTTCAGGTCTGGGTGTACACAGCTCTGCCGGAATTGGGTGCTACTTATGGTGGTCCCAGACCAAACAGTCCGTCTCCATCGATACTGGCTTACAAGGTGGCAAAGGCCACAGATTATTTAAAGAAGCTATCTGTAGACAGGTATGTACTTCAATCCAAAAGAAAATACTTCTCAGACGACTTAATTATAAGTCGTCTGAGAAGTCTTTTCTTTCTTTCTTAATCCGTCAAATATCTAAGGTCGTATCTTCTATTTACTGCAGACCCGCGTGATCAACTTTGTTGAGAAGGACATTGGTGATATGTGGCCAAAATGGGACTCTGATATTGAGGACCCGGCCGCGAACAACATCATTAAACTCATGTTTGAGAAGAGACCGTGGAAGTGGACCTTGGGTTGCTGGGAAGTCACCGGTACTGGGGAGAGTAAAAAACCAGCGGTTATGAGTCCTTCGAAGATACACATAGTTGAGGTGAAGGAAGACAGTCCAAGACCTCTGAAGAAAGCTCGTAAAGAGGATCCTAAAGAGGCTCCTAAAGAGGATCCTAAAGAGGCTCGTGAAAAGGTTCATGCAGGGCTAGTGGAGAGGGTGGTCGTTGGGTGACCAAAGAGGAGTTGCAGAGTATGGTCAAGGACGTGCTTGAAAACATGACTCAAGGATTTGGGACGATCCTCAAGGGGATGGCTGGTATCACAAAGGAGATGAAGTTGATGTCCGTGAGAATGGAAGCTGTGGAGAAGATGGTTGGTATCACCAAAGCAGGGACATCATCTTAGGATAACACTCAACCCAAAGAACCCGGGGTTAGTAACAAATCCTCTCCCAACAAGGTCATCCAGACGACTTAAATTAAGTTGTCCAGAGACAACTAGTCGTCCAGACGACTTAAAAGTAAGTCGTCCAGTGATAACTAGTCGTCTAGACGACTTATTTAAGTCGTCCAGTGTTTATAATGTGCTATTTACTGATTTCGATCTTGTATATTGCAGAGTGAAAGTGTGGCAGAAGTTGCAAAACCGAGTGATGCAGAAGGTGGAAAACAGAGAGATAAAGAACCGACGGTCGAAAAAGTTGCAAAACCGAGTGAGGCTCCAGTTGCAAAACCGAGTGATGCAAAAGCTGGAAAACAGAGAGATAAAGAACCGAGGGTCGGAAAAGTTGCAAAACCGAGGGAGGGAAAAGTTCCAAAACCGAGTGAGGCTCCAGTTGCAAAACCGGTTGAGGCTCCAGTTTCAGAACCAGTTGAGGCTCCAGTTTCAGAACCGAGCATTGTTCCACATTCAGAATAGAGCGTTGTTCCAACTTCAGAACAGAGCCTTATTCTATTGGAAAAAACAGCTGCCACTGCTTCGGACATACAGCGGCGAGATGCTCGATATAAAAAGAAGCTGGAGGCTTCTATTGCAACTAACCGTTTAAAGAGTGAACGAGAAAAGAAACTTGCTGCCACACAGCTATCTCCTTATACGGCAAACACCACGGCCAAGACCATCATCGAAAAGAAAAAGAAAGGTCCACCTTATAATCCATTTCCCCCACTAGACATACCTAAGTTGAAGGAACTTGTTGACTGGTTGAAAACTGATCCGTAAGTGATTGCTTTACCCATAATAGCTTGATTTAGTCTACCAAAACTGATTGCTTTTGTGTTTGCAGGGATTATTTCACAAAGTTCGAGGATAAACCGCGTACATCCCCAACTAGGTGGTATTCTGTCCTCCGGAAAAACTTAGAATGGCTGGAAGACGCAGTAAGTCTTCTACAATAACTTGGAACGATTTAATTATAAATCGTCTACAAAGTAGTCCACGTAGACGACTTACCAGACGACCTACTGATAAGTCGTCTGCGCAGACGACTTTGTAGACGACTTAAATTTAAGTCGTCTGATATCTTCTGCTTGTATTATGGTATCTTCTGACTTGTATTATTTTATATGCAGCATATAGATGCTTGGATTAATGTTCTGAGGCAGAGGTACCTGGCCAATCCACAAGCTTTCAGGAGCGAGAGAATGTGCTTCCTTGATCACAACTTTAATCAGACTTGGAGAGCCCAATACGATGATTTTGCCCACTCGAAGGGCGATTGGAGGGGTTTAGGAAGAAGACTCCCTGGTGGGGCGTGGTCATACTATGACGGATCAATACCTTCATTTTGCCAATCGATGAAGACTTGGGGGGAGAAGATTGATGATATCTACGCGCCCAATTTCCAGTCTAGCTTTATTTTAAATACTATAATCTATTGTGTAATCTTAGAGTCTCTATGGATTCGATCTCTAAGTACTACAACTGAACCTCTTATTTTAGAGAGTAATTCACTTCTTAGGGTAATTTGAGTGATATCAAATTGGCACCGTTGCCGGGGACTCTTTCTTATTACCATTAGATTAATTTTAGAATATAATCTAGATTTTACTTTCTGTTTACTTCAATTGTTTTTCTTTTTTCCCTGCTGACACATGTACTTTAGAGGAGAAACACAAGTTTCGGCAGAGCAACGATCGCTAAGATGATGAACACATCAAGCCACACATCAACAGACAAAGCGATCGACACATTCAAGCCAGAGTCGATCAACGAGGATACACAGCAATCGAGCGATGCAAGAGTACACAAATCCATCGACACCGACCGGCCAGAAACAGGTAAGTCTGTGCTTACCAATTTCAATATAGAGAAAGTAGTTCTAAGAGATTCAAAGGGTCGCGTATGCAACACATCTGATCAAATTAATTATAAACATAGGGCTGCGATTCCTGTTGGAGTAGCTATTGTTATGAATGCTGGTTTGGAACATCACCAAACGGTTGGAGATTACGACATACCTGATTGGTTTTATACCAACAGGTCTGCAATCTGGCCCACCAGCGGTTCAGAAGAAATACTTTGAACTGAAACATAAATATTTTTCTCTAGTGAGTCAACACCCCTTTCATGGTCTTCCTCATGAAAATCCCATAAACCAAATCAAAGCACTTGAAGACCTTGTGTCTAACATCAAGATGCACGAAGTCTCTGAAGACTACCTATTATGTAAGCTATTCCCGCATTCTCTTGCTGGAGATGCGACTCACTGGCTGAAACAACTGCAGCCAGGATCTCTAACTCGCTGGAGTGATATTAAAAGTGCCTTCCTTAAAAAGTTCTTCGATGAAGCACAAACCAAAGAATTTAAGAAAAAGATCTAGAATTTCTCTCAAGGCACCACGTAAGATTTTAAAGCCTCCTGGGTAAGATTTAGAGATTACCAGCGAGATTGCTGACACCATGGTTTTTCTGAAATCCAGCTACATAATAATTTCTTTAGAAGTCTCGACTGGACATACCAAGCGACTTTGGACGCTGCGAGTCAAGTGAAATTCAAAACTAGGACCCCTGAAGAAGCTACGTGGCTCATTGAAAATGTGGCACCTAGCACTAGTACCAAGAAGACTGATCTTGAGAGGAAGAAGATGGCCAAGATCTCGAACATCGATCAGATATCTGAGACCTTTTTATGTGAAAGAAATGAAGAGGAGCATGTTGAGCTCATCGATGGGACTAGTTTTCGAAAACATAGACTTGCTGATCAGCAGAGAAACACGAGCTTCACGGGAATCTACAAGACATAACAGACTCACAAGAGCAAGCTGGAATCTAGGATTGGACAAGTATTGAAAGGCCAGCAGAAAGTGACTGCCACTACAAGAAATATGGTAGATGTATGATAGCGAATTCATAAATGTTATGTATGCGACAGCCATCATAGTTACCCCCTTTAAGATAGCATTTTTTTAATGCTACGAAATGTGAGTATTTCATAGCGAAAAAGTAGTGCTATTATTAATGCAACTACGGCACGATTTATTTCCGTTACAAATTGATTACTATACATATTTCACGCCATGATAGGGCCTTCTACAATAGCAATCACATATTTTGACTATCGATTTTGATAAGTGCTATACTAAATATAATTATAGATTTTTAGTTGTTATGATAGTTCGAATCGTATGATATTTTAAATGCTATTATCTGTGACTATAGCTGTCTTTTTTTTGCTATTGATACTTTGTATGAAAACTATTATATGGTAGTTTTCTGTAACCTGCTTCCATTATAGATATATTACAATGAAACAACAACATTCATATTAAAAGTTTCAACTACATAAGTCATTACAGAAGAAAGATAGCATATGCAGTTTCAAAACACAAAACATAGTCATAAGCAAGTTTCTAAACACATATCATAGTCATAAGCATAGACTTAAAAGAAAAGGTAAAACTTCTTGTTCATTACCTAGCCTGAAACTAGCTAAGTCGGACCAAAGTTCTTCATCCCTTGCTGCAGGCTGCATCAATAAAACTCCCATCAGATAAGCAATTACATTCACATCTTTAAAACATAAGGACAACACTTACATCATCTTAATAGATGATTAATTTATCAATTTGCTATGAAATTGATGAACCATGTGCATCCTTCAAAAACTCGATCTCATCTGACTTCCTCCACACTTCGGCATTATCTAAGACTACTGCATTGACCCACACTCTAGCTGCATCCGGACCCAACCGTACAAAGTGGACCATTTGATCAGGGTCAGTTGAATGCACATGTCCTTCAGCAACAACTTATTTCCTCCCACCAATGTCCATCAGTTTGCACTTGTTATTCGCTTGTATTGGTTTAGACTGATGATTAAGCTGACATGTTTACAATACACACTAATTTAAACCCAGAGATTAACAAATCTAGATGATTAAAACAGACCAAATATTTACCTGATTAGTTGCTGGAGACTTTTCAGGAGGAGTGATGTTTTTTCTCCTGATTTTGTAACTTTATTACTACTTCTTCTTGGAGACCTAGGACCTACAGACTTAGTACCCTTATTTCCTTTTTCTCTTGCCGTTCCTGCTGAAGACGCAATGTTAGAAGGTGGAGATTGTTGTGTTGTCCCTCCTGGTGGGTTCTCAAAAACAACTTTACGAACATGCCATGATATAAAGGAGTGTAAGCAGTCCTCAAGGTATGCGAGCTCCATTGTAGGCCTCCATAAATACGTCCCTTGTTCATGTACCACATCGAGAAATACTTTAACTGCTTTGGGTCCGAGAGGAATTCCATTAACCAGTGCCTTTGCTTCTTGTGTCTGCCAATGGTCTTCAGCAACAACTACATCATCATCAGACAAATTCAGTAGCTTGCATTCGTTGAGAGAGTTTGTTCTCGAGCGTTGTCAAACATGTTAAGATACAAACTCATGAAAGGCAAACACATCATTACCTTATCTAGAATATTAATGAAATCGTAAAACCTGTACTTGTGGTGCTATATCTTCTGGTATAAGCCCCAAGCCTATTTCAACACATTTATGCTTAGGCAATGCAATAACATGACCAATAACTTCCTGAATTGTACGCATGTTACTCGTAGGCCTCCATAGAAATGCTTCACGTTCAGTAGCAGCATCAACCATTACTTTAACATCCATAGGGCCTAATCGACTGTCATTCACTATATCATCTGGGTCAGAAGAAAGGATATGGCCCTCACCAACGTTACCATCTTCATCAGCCCAATCAATAAGAAGACACCTCTTCTGTGATCTCTTGTTCACACTCTTAAAAATAGTAATGATGGCAAAATGTTATAGTGTACACTAGAAAGCCTTACATTCATCTTATATACATGTGATATCCCTCAAATGTTTAACCCTGAGGAGTGAATTACTCTCTCAAATAAGAGGTTCAATCGTAGTACTTAGGGATCAAATCCACAGAGAG